GTACAGCTGGTGCTTCTGTTTGGCAAAGATTTGACTAAGAAAACAAATTCTTTTCATGGGGATCTGTGCTTAGCCATATATTCCTTATTATATTTAATAAATTAAGCAGGCTGGCAATTAGGCAATACATTTCTGCAAAGAAAGTTCACGAGTTTATCTTTCTAGCATCCATCCCCTAACTGAGAAATGGGTGAGGTTTATAAAAAAGTGAAAAGGTGACTTTGCAATTCCCATTCCCTTGATACACTGCAGGACAGAAACCTCCACGTCCCAAATCAGAAGGTGGGACGTGCCTCTGATCAAGAGTAAAGTGTGACCAGAGGTGATAGGAAAGCTGCTGACTACACTTTTTATTTTCCTTTTTGCACAATACTTTACTTCCTTCACTATACTTCCTTCTTTGTTTTTGGCAGACAGCTGGAACCCTGATCTCTCAAGGCTAAAAGAATCAAATACAAAAAAACTAGTTGGTAGAGGCAGGGGATCAGAGCCTTAAGAAAACCATAAGAACATTCAGTAATCTCAAACGTGAATTAAATTAGATATCTAGTCAGAAAATTCTCCCAAAACACTTCTCCCTCAACAGTTCCATCTGGACACAGAGACAGATACCTGAGTGTCAGGAATTCTCTAACAGATGGGAAAATTCCTCTGCTGCTTCCTCATAATCCCTTCTGGAGCATTTGCTACCATGACAGGTCCTTTTATAATACTAAAGAAGAAAGTGATCTGTTAGGCTTTTCTAGCTCTATTGTAAGATGAATTCCTCTTGTTGGCCTTGAAAAGGATGGATGTGATCACTTCTTCCCTTGTACACTTGGGGTCTAGATCCCAAAAGAAGCACTATTAAAAATCCTAGCAAAATGACTGCCCTAACAAATTCCAAACTAACCCAGTGTTGACACAAACACATTTTTACTACATGCCTTAACAATGCATGCCTCACCATGTGAAGTGGTGACTGCAAACTAACTGTATCTCTTCTTGATTCAACACAGGCAGTATAAAAAGAAAAAAAAAAAAAAAGAAAAACAAAAGAGTAAAAAAAAGTAAGCAAATACATAAATAACACTTTTTTTTTCCCCAGGTATTTCTTCCAAAAACCAGTGTTCTCTTCTGCCTTGTCCAAAATGCATACAGCCCAGCTGTATAGTGACCAGTATATAGTTATAGAGTACATATTACTTTGGTGTTGAAGAAAATGTGTGTGCTTTCAGATCTGTTACAACAGAGTTGTAATAAAGAAAGGTTTGACTCTTCTTCAGAGGACTCCTGTATCTTATCAAGGTAACTCATGGCTCTCCTATTTAATTTATTCCTGCTAGAGAAATTCCCCTCCTGTTAGCTGCTCTCATTTGACTTTGTTCAGGTGAGAACTCTGTCACATGCAGCCCAGACGGATCCAGCTGAGGCAACCATCCAACTTCCCTGTAGCCAGTGTCCAGATCTGCAGCTCTGTTACAGGTTATCTGCAAAGCAGTAGGGTAACCAAGGGGAATGTACAACTATGTCCCAATCCAGAGTGTAATTGAGGATTAAAGAGGATGTAAGCTAGAATGCTGCAGCATGTATTCAGTTACTGAGTCACCCGCTCTTTCATCATTTAATGTTGGAACCAGCTCTTGAAACAGTCTGGGAGGAAAAAAAAAATTCTATCCAGAGGAGGAAAACCTACAGAAAAATGTAGGACTGCTCTCCAGAAGCAGGGAGTGAGAGAGGACTGCAGTCTGCTGTGATCCCATATCCACCTGCATCCTAATCTGGTGTGTACAGGTTACCTATTAACTGCAAGATCAGGAGACAACCTTGCAATTCCAGCCTCTGCACCAAATGACAGAGAAAATTTAACAAGGCTTCCCCTCCTGAAAGCTGCAAAGTTAGTGCTATTTCAGCTTCAGCTCTGATTGCCCCTTCCTCATACTTAAAATTACTTACATAAAGAAGTGTTCAGAGTTTGCCAGAAGACACAGAAAACAGGTGGATAAACTGCCTGATACATGACAACTTTGTGTAGTACAACATTATCCTGAGGCCATGCCCAAGAAAATTACTGGAGACTGACTTGCAGGAAAAGTGGCTATACCACACAGACATATGAGTAATTACTAGTTGAACCAGAACTAATTCTACAAAGAGCTATAGCAATTGTTAGCCAAATTGAGTCTGTCATGGCAGATGCTAAAATAATTGCTATGGGAGATTACAGGCCATATCCAAGCAGTTAATTCATTAAAAGTATAATATTCAGAATGGCAATGGAGGAGCAGACAAAATGGTAGCAAAGAGAGCACAATTTTTTAATCAAACAAGCACTACTGCTGTCCTCTGTCACCCTCTAGTTCCCTATTAATACAAACAATTCATGCTTCAGTTACTGCTCAAAACTGCATATGTATGCTTACTAGAAAGCCTGAATGAATTTCCCCGTGTCTTGGGTTTGGAAAAAACAAAGAATTTTGTAGTGTTTTGTACAGTTATCAGTGTGAAAAATAGACAAAGTCATTGTCCCTGCTATAAATCCCTCACATGAAAAGAGTGGAGTATTGTTAAAAAGCTGTGACAGCTACTGGTTTCAACCAGCAAGATATTTCAGCAAACAGAGTCCTCAAAGATTCACAGAGGCGTTGTTTACAGAAATGTCTGCATGAGCACTTGCAGGGAAAAAACATATATTCCATGTGGAAGGTTTTTTTAACCAAGGGTTGTTTTGCTTGTCTCTGCTAAAGAGAAGAGAAAAGCTCCCAGACAATTTGTCTCCCAGTATGAACTAACCCTTGGCTCTACTCAGATGCAATTCCTAGCAGAGCAAAGGCTCATTTACGTCCATCAAATTCCACAAGACAGAGGTTATAGAGAATGTTATTGGCAAATAGATCACATGCTGGCTGGCTGCAGAGGTGCATATAGCCCTGCAGAAAGGGTAGCTGCTTGAAGGAGAAAGAAAATGGTTAGACACTGGATTTATTTTGCATTTTTCTCTGAGTTTTGAATGCAGGCTGTTAAAATCGGTCTATCCCTTAAAACTGGTCTATCCCTGAGCATTGATTACTTGGATATGTGCACCTTCAGGACACAGCAATAAAAGAATACCATTTCATTTGGTACAACTCACTGTAGAGGAAATGATGCTTGACATATCACAGATAAAAATAAATATTAGACAAATATACACCAGAATGCTGCATACCAAGAACTCCAATGAGACTTTTACAATTTTATAAGCTTGGATGTGTGTGAAAGAAAACAGTGAAATTTACTTTGCAGCCAGGTTACCAACCTTACCTCATGCTGAATAGTACTTTACTAAAAAGCACTTTACAAAGCACACCACACATTTACAGTTCAACATGATGCAGCAGGAGAGAACCTATTCCAAAATGTGGAGTAAAAAGGCTTTTCTACAGATGTTATGCAGAAGTTGAGCAGAAGTGATTAAGGAAAACAAGTCTGTAGCCACAATCCCAGTCACACAGGGATATTCAAATTAGGTCCTCCGGAACTGCTTCTGGAAGTGACAGCAAACAAAGAAAGTGCTGTGCCAGAGACAGCATGGGAAACCCATTTCAATTAAACAAAGAAATAGGTCACTGTGCAATGTATGTGATGAGTTTTCTTAAGAAAGAAAATAATTTCTCAAGAAAGTTTAGGGCAGGTCTAAGAAGAGCAACAGCACAGAAGAAAAATGGGTGAATCTAAATATCAAACAGACTTTACAGCCTCTTGGACAAACAAATGAGAAAATCATGGCCTCTCAGGTGAAACATTTCAGCTCTGCAGGGTATCCCAAGATAAGAGACTGGGAAACTGGTAATCACAGCTGCACTACAAGCAATCCAGGTGCTGCCATGGGAGGCAACAGCATCGCCTCTTGTGTCTCCTCCTGCCTCAGTACCATCAACCATGCCCACCATTCTTCTCTAGGTAGCTGCTTTCATTAAGCAAACACAGGAACTCTGCTAGCCCACTCTGGTCAGAAAGGAATTTCTGAACGAGGTGGTTTTTGAAGGCTAGTGAAGATTTATCACACTGTAGGGAAAATACAATTTGAAATAAACATTGACAAAATTTCCCCAAGTATAAGTGTTAATTTTTGAGTTCAGAATGACTTAATTTTTCAAATAAAATTCATTACGCCCCTCAACTAGATTTTTCTATAAGATGATTGTCTGTTTTCTGTTGCAAGAATCACCACCTAAAATTTATAAAATAAAATCATGAGATGACTAGTGCTCCAGTACATATGTGTATTACATATACATGAACATATAAAAACCAGATACACTGGTGTAATTAGCTGATTAACAGCCATGCTGTAAATCCACAACATTTTTCCCTCAAACTCTCCCCCCAGATTTCAACACTGCAGATGTTCAAAGTGATGGAACTACCAGACACATAGAGGCAGGTGATTTCCAAATTCTCCTGCTGTAACCTCCTCTCTAATCACCTGCTGGAAGACAGCATACTGTGCCACTCAAATCATCTTTACAATTAACATGCCTCTTCAAATGGCCACTCCAATGAAGAAAGACTATTATCCTCTATCAACAGAAGAAAAGTACAATCAAAAGTAGTTACTACTGTCTGCAAATGAGCCATTTTTCTGAAGACTGTATACCAAATGCCTCTTCTTCTGTGAAGAAAAGACCTTGCACAAATCAGGAAAATGCAGACACAGGGATATTCCAGTTTGGACACCTAGCATTTTTCTGATAGAAAAGTTATGAAAACTGTTTTGTCATTTATTGAAATAGATACACTTAGCCTGATCTTTAAAGCTGAGATTTTATCAATTCTTAAACTATCTCTGATATATATGTATAAAATAAGCACTGTTCTGACAGCCACCTTCTCCTCAGGTCATTGCATGGTGAACTTTACACAGCAACCTGGAGATGAGCAAATTGAACTGTAACAACAAGTTGAAATAATGTTTGGAAAATGCCTCATTACATCATATATTAATTTTTTGCTTCCCCTACAGACAAGAAGCAACAGACCTTACATTAGGGTCCTGCAGACTGGAGGTCTTACTGGGATTTACAAAAGAGGTCTCTTCTTTCACAGCCTGTTAAAAGAAGGAGCCAAAGTTTAGTACAACATCCATGCACTTAGGATAATACAACTGTTTATCAAAAAAATATTCCTGTAAGCAGCTCAGAAAACTGCAGCACCCAAAATGCCTACTCTGTCCAGATTTAAAAGACATGATCTTTTTGGGTTTTCATCACCTACAGCTGAGATTCACTGTGATGAGCAACAATGTACAATGGGCAATAGTATAAGGGAGAGAGAGATTGGTACTGGAGGAGAAAGAAAGGAACACTGACATTTATGGCTCCACCAGAAAGCACTTGAGCAGAAATCATACAAAATCTACACAGACGAACATAATGTAATTGAGCTGTCCTTTCAATTGGAGTAGAATAAATATTTATTCTGAAATAATGATGCCAACTTTTCATTCAGTTTTTGAAAATCTAACTGAAAAATGTGATTCCCTACATATATTCACACTGTATGCACAATTCACAGAAAATCTCACTCACTACTGCTCTCTGCTAAATTACAGAGTCCTGTCTCTCATATGCCATTTTTCTGTCGATTTGAAAATACTAGTATTGCAAAATATCCCCCATGGAAATTCCTTTATTACCTAGGAAATGCCCAATCTGGGCAGGTGTTGATATACTCTTCATATGAGACACAGGATTCCCAATCCATGTGTAAATGCCAGCATGAGGACAACACTGCCCCCCACTACAGAAAATACTGACTACAGAGACAAGAGTATTTCCAAATACTCCTCCCCATCAGTCAGGGACTTCTCAGACTGTGACATTTTCACCCTGCTATGTGAACAGAGGGGGACTGAAATAGTCCCACAACAGAGTGGTTTTTCAGTGTTCAGTATCTGAACCACAGTAATTTGAGGCCATAGGTCCAGATCAAATTAAATTAAATGTGTCAGTCTAATCCTCTTAAAATAGGATGAAACAGATTTCTTCAAATCCATCAAATCCAAATCAAAGGATTTTACAGACACATAAAAATATTGTAATGTTACATAAGACCTTCCATTCAATAAAAATTGAAATATTTTGTTTGTGGGTTCTCATAAGAAAAGGAAACAAAATCAAATCTGAGTTTCTTCTATACCTTAGCGATGAACTAAAATAAAAATATCAGTAGGGATACTCAGTGCTTGGGGAAATCACCCAAGTGTTGGTTTGTTTTCCCCTTATGCTAGAGGGAACAGAACCCTCACTGCCACTTCCCAGATCATTATTTACCAGATCATCAGCCATGGTGGGAAGGGACTGCTCCAGCTTAATTGTGTACACACAATTAACTGTATGGGCAATTAAACTGGAACCACTGGGACCCTGACAGAAAGTGAACTCTGTTCTGGGTCTCCTACGGCCCAGGCACTAGCTGAAGTGATGGGTTAGAGGGCATTTTGAGACAAGTCCTTTAGTAGGAAGTTCATCCCTTCCTATTAGAATTGTTGAACCTTGTATATTGATACCAAAGCCCCCATGTGCAGAGAGGGGACCCTCTGACCCTCATCAGCAGCTTTATCCCTCTCCTAGGGGCTAGTTCACAGAGGAAGCTGGTTTTCAGCTAGGTTACTTGGAGGAGAACAGGATCAGCAGCAGCTACTGGAGAAGCTCCACTCCATGTAGTACCCTTACATGTTTGGGTTTAATTTCCCTCAGGCAGAGGTTTTCTCAGTCCTGCACAAACACTCCAGAAATTAAGGAATCAGATAAATGTGAGACATTATCCCTACACCACCATCATTGTAACTCAGCCGCCAAATGTTTTGCTGCTAAGGTTTTCAGTGAATTAATGTCACATCATAAACCTTTTGGGGATCAGGAGTTCAATTTTAAAATTTTAATAAATAATTTGTAGCTTTAGGCAACTCAGCTCAGCTTTAGAAAACATTTTTACTAGTTTTCTAGTAGCTCTGTCTTGCATAATGTTTATTCAAACTCTATTGATTTCTTGAAAGGAAAGAAAAAAAGTTTTTAAGGACTTGAGAGAAAGCATTGAAAATCATTCTTTGTTGGCATAGATGAGCAGTGGAAGCAATATTTCTTTGTTCTACAGAAATTATAATGCTTTTTATAAAGCTGTTTGGTTTCTGAAATCTGTAAATGTGAATCCAGCTGTCAGAAATCTAATACAAGGTCTCTTCTTCCACACTGATGTCTTAGCAACATTTTATTGTTAAGCCTGTCAAGCTAGCTGCTTATTATGTGTCAAATTGGTTACTTTTTAAAACTACAAATTTTAGTTCATTCCAATTTTCACGAAAGTAATTGATCTGCATTTTAAGATGCACTTGAACACAACAATGGAAAAGAGATTACAGAGATCAAGAACGCAATGCAGGGGTTGTGACTAGCAATGAAATTATTAAAATTCCACCTCCTTAAATGCAATAAGCCATGGATCTCATTAGCCAGCTGAGAGGGCTTCACTATGTTAGAGCCTTCATGGCTTCTCAGCTCTCTGGCTACATTATTTCTCTCTTTTGTCTTCTCTCCATTGGAAGGCTAAGCCTGCATTTCAAGAAGTCATATATTCCTAAGCAGCATGACCAGTATCCTCTATCAATGAGGAACTTCTCTTGGTGTTAATTTTTCTCCGTTATTACTCAGGTTTTAGAGATCAGAAAATACTCCTGAACCCACAACTAAGCACTGCAGACCAGTGAGCAAGTAATCCCACTCTAAATTGTAAGGAGAGAGGGAGCATGCAAAGAAATGGGGGGGCTTGAACAGCCCCAGGTGATAAAGCCTGTCCTCAGGGTGCCATGGGTGTGCATTAGCAGGTACAGATTAACAAGGATGGGCTCATTCTTCTCACTTTATGCCTTTCCTCCCTAGCTGTGGATGAACAGACACAGGAAAATGTTATAATTGCAACCTCTTCTGCAAAGGGCTGCAGCTGAGAGAAAGTGTACCACCCCTGCATCACTTGAGGGCTTATTGGCTTTTGGGGTGTTTGTACAAAATGAGGTCAGTAAGTCATCACCTGGCAGCCTGTTGCTTTTATTTTGCTTCTTAACACTGCAAGTCACATTCACTGATCACAGAAGGACTCTCTCAGCCTTACTGAAAAGACATGACTGTAGAAGAAGGGTTATGCTTGTAGACAGCCCTTGCAATGTAATTCCCAGATGGTTTGCTGTCATTTGAAAACAAGTGTACCTGCTGGGGCCAGGATTTGGGTTTCCATTGCAGGATGCCTTCCAGCAATTGAGAAAGGGGGTTTAGCCAAGGGTGGCAGGAGGTGCCTGGTAGGGAATGTACACACAGAGCTGGGCAGAGGCTCTCACCCACTGAAAGCCCAGCACTGAGCTGTGTAAGAAAGACAGAGGCAGAAGCAAAGCATGAAGCTGCTTAGGTCTTAACTAAGGCAGATTCTCCTCTCCCACAGAGGCTGCTACTCTGAGGGAGAGATTTCAGCGCATAACAGACCTGGAAGCCCAATTTATAGAGAAGCAGATTAATTTAATAATTACCCAAAGAGAAACAAGCTACTTTTCTGGCTGCCAGACTGCAAATAAAATTAAAAGTTTATCCATATAATCCATCCACACAATGCCATTCTGGGTTTTTTTTTTATCTGCATCAGGCCCAGAGGAAAAGAAAAATCATTAATTTTCTGTTTTCATATGCCATTAACTTTCTGGATGATATTAGAAACCAAGAACTACTTTATCATTTTAAGCATTGCTTTATACTATGACAGGACAAGAAACATGACTGGGCAGCAATGCCATTGTACAGGCTCTCTTCACAGATGATTGCTAAGAAATAGTTTCACCAAAGGATGAAAAGAGGAGAAAAGTATATAAATTTTGTCCACAGCTCCCTGAGCCATCTACCTATGGGCAGCTGGGAGTTCTCAGACTGCTTTTCAGTCAACTCCTGAGCAGTGCTAATCCCTGCTGCTGTCTTGGCAGCCAAGCCCTTTGGAGACTTAGAGAGGGGGTGGATGCTCCAGGGATGCTACACCAGACTCTGCTGAGCTTTCCAGAGGAGGTGGGAACACTTTCTGGCCCCTGAGAGTAATCCCATGCATAAATTCATAAGCCCTGGTGGCTAGATTTGCCTAGTGAACAGCAGCTCCTTCAATTTTCTTCTGAAGAAAGAGTTAGCCCCAGGGTAATGGAGGACAGAACCTTAAAATGGGAATTCGTTGCACCAAGCGTATACCAAGAGGGAAAATACAGTAAAGACAGAACTTTGGGTGCAGACTTCTGTGATTTTTGCCACTGGGGCACTGTGCAAGGTAGTCTGTGCTCTTCATGCCTCAAGCAAGCACCATGGGGAGCTAGTGTCACTGTGTCTCTCCTCCTTCACAAGGGGAATTGCTGCGGCTCTCACCTCTACTGATCCAAAATAGGAGCACCTTGGATAAGCAAAAAAACTGCATGAAGAATCAGATCACTGCAGCCCAGGGGGAGTGCCAGGTTCTCATCTGAGAATGACAAGGGTCTAGAAGGCTCATAGGAAACATATGATGGCCCTTATTTAGCAATTTCACAAAGTTCTCAGTTGCAGAAAGGAAGGGAGAGCAACACAGCTTTCACATGTTTGGAGATCTTCAAAGGTAAGGAAGGAATGACTCTCACCACAGTGGCCTGGAAATACTTCTCTATCTTGGCTCTTTCTGAATCTGTAATGATGGTAAGGAGGCCTGAATCATATTTGATTTTTCAGCTCTTTATCAACAATTTAATCTTTTGTCAGCCATGCCAAATGTTGGCTGATCTCATTAGATAATACAGGCTAAGGAACATGTCATCAGGAAGAATGTTCTGCCAAGGTAAACCTACCTTGGTGATTTAATATGTCAAATGTAACGTCTCAGGCAGAAAAGCATGATGTTTATGTCTCTTGGGAGCAGACTACTCTGGTTTTTTTCCCCTCTGAATGAGGTATAGCACCATGGGCTATGGTGAGGCTCTTACACATCAAGGCAATTAACAGTACTTGTCTCATCATGTCCTGGACAACTCTCAGAGAGGAGACAGAGCTGACATACCCA